AATTGAAAAAGACACCAGAATCCAGTCTGGGGTATTTTATCCCGAAGCCTAAGTAGGGATAAGTCAGCGTTTAACCTGCGTTACTGGGTGGTTCGTTCCCGTAAAAACGACCGAGTCTATGTATTCAGCATCGTAGCAACAAAAATCCATGCCTTTTATGCATAGGGAATTTTATCCCGAAGCCTAAGCAGGGATAAGCCAACGCCTAACGCGCGCTGTCGGTTTAGTCTTTCACCGATTGAAAAAGACACCAGAGTATAATTTTTGGGACTTTCATCCCGAATCCTAAGTAGGGATGAGTCAACGCCTAATACGCGTTGCCGGATGCCATATTCCCGTAAGAAATGGCGAAGTCTATGTATTCAAAATCATAGCATTAAGTCTAAGAGAAACAATTCTCTTAGCACAACATTACATGTGAAACGGGTTTTAATAATTCACATGCTAGCCCGATTCAAACGGTAATCGGTAAAGGCACGTCAAACCCGTTGATGGATGGGGGTTTGCCAAAAATCCCAAAGTCTATGTCTAGCACGCATTGCCGGTTAGTCTTCGACCGTAAAAAGGACAAAAGATCACATATTCAACATTGTGGCAGGTTGTTATTAATAACACCATAATCCGTGCCTTACACGCATGGGGAATTTTATTCCGAAGCCTAAGCAGGGATAAGTCAACGCCTAACATGCGTTGCCGGTTTAGTCTTTTACCGATTGAAGAAGACACCAGAATCCGAGTCTGGGGATTTTTATCCTGAATCCTAAGTAAGGATAAGTCAGCGCCTAACACGCGTTGCCGGGTAGTCTATTCCCGTGAGAAAGACGAAGTCTACGTATTCAATGTCGTAGCATTAAAAGAGTTAACTCTTTTAGCACAACGTTATGTGCAGAACGGATCTAAACAATCTGCATGCTAGCCCGACTCAAACGGTAGTCGGTAAAGGCTCATCAAACCCGTTGATGGCTGAGAATTTGCCAAAAATTCTATAAGTGCGAGTCATTGATGCATCAGCTCTGTTAGTTGGTCTCGTGACTCGATTATCCAACAACATTAAAATAAGATCCACAAATGCAGATGAATCAGCTTTAACAGTTGGTCCTGCAACCCCGAAACTTGGGACCGCCGTGCTCCAATACCTTAAGAGCTTAAACTGTGTATACTCCAGTAAACGTACGAGTATAAACTGTGTCAACGTTCGATGTTCGAAACCTTAGGGTCAACGCCGGTCAACGTGTAACCCTAGGTCAACACCAGTCAACGCGTTGCGATCAAAAAGTCAATATTCGACGTTCGAAACCCTAGGGTCAATGCCGGTAACCGCGTAACCCTAGGTCAACGCCAGTCAACGCGTTGCGACAAAAAGTCAAAGTTCGACGCTCAAAACCCTAACAGGTCAACGCGGTCAACGCGTAACCCTAGAGTCACGCCAGTCAACGCGTGTGGACAAAAAGTCAACTTCAACGTTCAAAAACCCTAGCGTCAAACCGTCACACGCGTAGCCCTAGGTCAACGCCAGTCAACGCATTGCCCCGACAAAAAAGTCACATACCGGTGATCTAAACCCTTAACTCAACGCGCAACTGGACGGAGGTATCTTCAAATCAAACTCAATGACACGAGCCCAAACTCAATTCATCAGCTGTAGACTCGAGGACCCGACGACGCCAGGTGACTAAACGCCAGCGCCAGAAAGACTTCGGCAATTTCGTCAAAGCATTGAAATAGACCGAAATCGAAGGAGCAAGATGTTTAAAACTAATACAGTCCTTACGCCGACTGAAGGCAGGCCAATCACACTCCAAAGTATTCCAGCCTCGTCTAATAAAAGAAACGAGCTGAATGCTTTGGAGCGGGGTATCTGTAGCATCGAAAATTGCCTATAGTCTCCACGAACAGCGCTCAGTGTTAAGAACGACAATGAACGTCACATATCTGGTTCACAGAGTCGACTGACGTCCTCAGTGAACGCATTTAAGTGAACCGACGAACTACTGAGCTGACGGATTTCGGGATACGAAGCACGGGCTAATCGAGAGCCCCCGATGCTTACAAAAAGAACAACGCATTTCGTGTCTCGTTCATATCTACAATAACTCCAACCATGGAGCTGATAGAACTCTTCTTAGACTTCCACCACTTCGAATCACTAAATCCGAGTTCGACGAAGAATTACAGCGCGAAGCGGACGAATGCACCTCAACGATGTCTCGCCAATGTCGAGACACCTCAAGGGTGGGTCTCGGATTTCCAGGACACCCCAGGGGTGTCTCGGATTTTCCAGGACACCCCAGGGGTGTCGTCGCGTTTTCCGAGACACCCCAGGGGTGTCTTCGGATTTTTGGAGACACCCCAGGGGTGTCTCGAGTTTGGTGAGACGCCCTCCAGCGCGGATTCGGGCCTTTATGCCATTTTAACCGCTCCGCAACCCCTCATGCCTATAAATACAAGCCTTAGGCCTCATTTTTTGGGATCTGGAATTGGTGTGCCTCGACGAAGCCCTGCCGGATTGAAGACTTAAAAGTACACAGATTTCAGAGAGGAGGAGGAGAGATCGGATCCAGTTCTTCAACGCAAGAGAGAGTTCTTCGTCAGATCTACATCACCCGTACCCGATCCTTAGTATTATCACGTTGTGTTAATACTAAGAAGAGCAAATATCTCGCTTTATCCGAGATAGGCGCTTCAAGTTTCTAGATCTCCTCGCGGATCGACGAAGCTCTGCCTAATTTTTCAATAATCAGATCTGATCGACGGTGGTCCACGGATAAACCCCGGCACAGGCAAAGATCCCACGCAAGCAGAAGACCGATGAACGATCTCTGCGTTTGTTTGATAAAGTTGTAAACTTTTTTTTTTATTTTCATTGTGTAAGGAGATCTTATAAAAAGATCAACTTTTTTTATTTCATTCGAGTTTATTGTAACGACTAAAGTTGTAATAAATTCGATAACAATGGAAATAGTAACTTTCTCCGCAAACACAATACACAAAGGCGATATAAGATATGAATACAAGAATAGGTACGCCAATGCAATCATAAACAAAACGATATATATGCAAGGATATATAAACTAATACAAGGGGAAATAAACAATCTACAAATATGATAGGTTAATATGAAGAGCAATACACAAAGGCGATATAAGATATGAATACAAGAATAGGTACGCCAATGCAATCACAAACAAAATGATATGATCACAGAGTTCGGTCTAACCACTTGACCTACGTCTCCGCTCCTCACCTCGAGGAGATCTCCACTATCACAACCGGGTTTTCTACGCTTACCCGAATAACGTTTACACATCACACTCGGTTTTCTAGCTAACCGAAAACTTTACAACTACACACTTGCAATCACACTCTACACCCTCTAAGTATTGGCCTAGTCCGTATCCTCCTCCTCAAGTGCTCGGATGCAACCTCTCCCTAGGTTCGTCAACCGACGCCACTCCTATTGGATTCAACCCCGTTTCTCACCACACACTACTCTCGGTGTACAAGTGTATTACAAGTGATACTCACAATATAAGTTCAAATATAATGTGTTGTTCTCTATAATGAATGAGAACACAATGTAGCTCACTCTCAATGATACACTCCCCATAACCCAATATACAATATGTGTTAAATACTAAAGCTCAATGGTTGTGTGTGCAAACAATGAGAAACAACAAAATCAAATGTAAAACTCAATATAAATCTAGCTTAATGAAGATAATAATCAATGACATATATAAATGCAAAGCTAGAATTGAGTTTAGAAAAACTTCTCTAGAACAAGAGAGATGGAGATGTGAAATTGAAAGCTCAAACCCAAGTTGATCTCCTCTTCTTGTGAAACAATCTTCACAAGCCTAATTTTATAAACAAACACTTAAACAAACTTAAACCCTTGTAAAAACTTGTTTAAAACATCTCTTAGTTTGGTTGTAGAAAATAGTTATGGCAAAGGGGTATATATAGGGAAGAAGAAAACAACCCCAAAAACCCACTAAAAAACAAAAATCAGCAAAACTACAGCTCAGAACAACAGACGGTCGACCGTGGCGATCAACCGCGAAATTCTCTGGACTGCATATGGTCGACCGCCACGGTCGACCGTGAGCCAAAAAAGATCTTACTGAGTCTTTGGACTCAAGGCGGTCGACCGTGGCAGTCGACCGCAAATTGACACATGACATTTACAGGTTTTGAAAACAGTTTTTGTGACTTTAAAACCCTGTTTAAAAATATCAAATAAATTCCAAAAATTATGAAACTTTGGTAAATGATTGTAGACATGATAATAAACATGCTACAAAAACTAGTTTTCAAAAAGGACCTCCCAAATAAAAAATATCATTATTTTACAAAATAGTCCAAAACATGAAAATGTAAACACATGAGTTTTGACATTTTAGCTTAACCATGTTTTGAAACATTACAAAATGATTTTATAGATTTTAAGAAAGATGTAAACTATTGTTATGAAGTCTATAAATAATGAATATAGTATTTTATCAAAATACACATATAATACTATATATATACAAAGAAACCAATAAAATGTGTGTGCATATTATATTGAGCTTAAAGTACCAACACACATAATATAAAACCTAAAACTAAATATACCCAAGCTTGTGATCTTCAATGAAGCTCTATCTTGGTACACTTGCGAATGAAGCTTGAACTTGAATCTTTAACTTTGAATTGCGTAAGCTTCACTCCACAATTCTGCCAACCTCCATTGGATATGATCGTGAATGCGTAATTCCATCCATCCTCCAACATGTTGTTTGCCTAGAATAAATACGAAAACACAAACACTAGGCAAACAATATTAGAAGTAAATTGTTTGTTAAACATCATCAAAACAAGAAGGCCAACATATATGTATATATATACATGTGTGTGTGTGTCTCTCTCAAATTTCCTACGCTGTCGCCATGTGTCATATTCTCATTCGCTAATAGAGAAACGTTTTCGAATGGATAAATTAATAGTAAGTGAAGGACCTACATGTAAAAGTTCAAATCAACCACAAATCTCAACTCACCTTTCCTAATTGACTCCACAAAATCAAAACTCCGCTACCCCCATCCCAATCCTCACCGCCTCTTCCATCTTTGTCATCCCAATCCTCACCGCCGCTTCCCCCTTCCATCTTCGTCGTCCCAAACCGCACCGTCGGCTTAGCCATCCCAATCCTCACCACCGCTGCCCCCTTCAATCTTCGTCGTCCCAAACCGCGTTGTCGGCGATGAACTCAAGCGAACCCAAAGCGAACCTCATGTACTTTATTATTTGAAGAACGGACGCCTTTGCCGATCCTCAGGTACTTTGAGAACTCGGGTACTTTATCAATCGAAGAACGGACGCCTTCGCCGATCCTCGGGTACTTCATCGATCTTTTAGTTTTGTTAATTACTTTCATAAACTCATAATTGGACAACTTCTTAATTTAATCTAGTTAATGAAAGTTTTTTATTTTTATTTTTTTTAAAGGAATCAACTTAATTTTTCCCACTGTCAGTAAACTTAAAATGATGAAATAATAAAAGGTATCGATTTTTTCCTACTGTCAGTGAACTACTATGTTGATGAGCATGCCGAGTCTTTCTACAAAAGTGTATTAAGCTTGTGCAGGGTGCAAAACTTACAGACTTGGCTTGGAGTTTTGACTGTGAGATAGTTGATAATGAACTGCTTGGAAATTTGACATTGAGGTGAATTGATCATGAAATGCTTGCAACTGTTGGTACTTGATGATGCTTTGTAGGCTAATCATCCAAAGGCTGTTGTTTGGGTTCACTGAGCTCAATTTCTGTGCAAGCCTCATGTCTCTGTTTGGTCCATGTAAATGTACATCCCAGTTTTTGTAACAAGTATCAAAATTGAAGAATAAGCCCCTTATCAAGTTGAGACTGTAAAAGAATGAAGTTTTGTGATGCTAAAATTTTTCCTATTGAAGAATCATCTCCCTTTTATTTTATTTTATTTTCCAGTTTTGGGTTAATATTCTATATTCTACATAAAAAATTTGGGTTTTGTTCAAGCTTCGATTGCTGTATGGATAGATTTGGGCTATACTGATAATGGAAAAGAATGAAATGCATTTCTTCCCACGATTAGGAGAAAACAAGATACAATAGTTTCCATCTCAATTCATCTACAACAAAATGACACATGCCCAAAAAGGCATGTTGGATGGAAAAAGCCGTCTAGGATACCTAGAAATCTATTTGATGGAGGAGTTGAGCGTGAGGAGATTTGGCGAGTCAGAGAGAGAGAGAGAGAGAGAGAGAGAGAGAGAGAGAGAGAGAGAATCCATTTTCAGAGAGGAGGATTTGAGAGAAATGAGAACGATTTGTTTTGAGAGAAGAATTTGAGCGTCGAACAGAAATATGTAATTTGAGAACGCTGGTTTAAGTTTCCATTTACTAATGAGTGTTATGTACAAAATCAACGCCAGACATATATACAAATAAAACTCAGTTAGCTTATAGCTGCTATGAAAAGTACGACTGCGCCTTCACATCAAATACATCAAAGAATAGAAATGAATATTAACAAGAAATCCCTTTTTACATCTTTGATTATCCTAGTAGCCACAAATTATTTATTAGAAAAAGCTCGCCGACTCCTCCCCTTCGAAGTATATACAATAAACACAGGTCTCATATTTCCATTTACACTTATCAACCCCCATACTATAATATATAACCATGAGACTGGAAACAAGCTGATACCAATCCAAGCCATTATCTCCTCCCACACACTTAGAAATTGGGCAATCAAACATTAGGTGATCCAAATTCCCATCCACTTGCTTACACAAATAGCACTTGTTCTCATTAAGGATCGATAGCCTAATCAATCTCTCTTGGATGAGTAATCTCAGCCTCATAGTAAGCCACTCAATGAAAGAATACTTGTGATCAACATGATATAAAACATTATAGACCTTAGAAAATTTAAATTTATCTCCATGACAACATGCAACAAGCTTAGAGACGCAGCAACCATTGTTGCCCCCATTGCACAATCATCTGATTCTTCACTTTAACCAACATTTTTCACTACCCAAAATCGATGGTTTGGCTTGAACCACCCATATATGCATTGCTTCAAGTAGGATTCATGTAACTATTTTATCTAGAGGGGTATCTTTCTTAGAGTGGATATCCTACCTATATTAGTTTAGCAATAGATGCCAAATTCCACCACTCAGCACTATACAGATCCCAAACCTCCGTACTTCTTAGACCTACATACATCTTTTCAACTTACCAAAGCTATCTTCCGCTTCTCTTGTTTACCACACCAAAAAAGAATCCTGCAAATTGCATCAACAAAGTGAAGAAGACACTTTGGAAGCAAAAAACCACTAGTCCCAAACACTTGCAAATTGAAAAAAAAAAAAAAAAAAAAAAAAAATCTGATTCCATTAAGGCAAGTCTACCAACATAGGATAAATGCTTATTATTCTAGCCAAGACTTTTGACTTAATTCTATCTAGAAGAGGCTGAAATAACCCAACCCCCAACCTACTATACTAGATAGAGGTAAGCCATGATACATATCAGGCAATGAGCTTCAACAAACCCTACATTGGCTCATCCCTGATGGCAGAGCTTCAACAAACCATTGTTCATCCCAAACAAATTTAAAATATAGTATACTTCAAAGGAAAAGTTACACTTTTATTTATTTTTAGTTCAAAAGTAGTATGTGCTCATATCAATGAATAAATGAAGTGACCTGTAAACTGAAACAAGTTGTATCAATTAAGTAAATATGCTATTAACTTTATAAGAAATTAAACAAGACAAGAAGAACGATGTGGAAATGTGCAGTACTTGCATCCTTGAGCTATTCGACATGGCAAACCAACGCAATCAACTAGACCTTGCATATCAAATCAAACAAAATTAGTATGCTTTTGATTCTGATGTAAGCAAAGCGCAAACAATTAGTATGCTTTGATTCTGAAAGAATGTCTTTAATTTGTTGCAGGAAAATATATGTATATGGAACCTACTGATCTGATATAAAAAGTTCTTTAGCAATCGATTTTCTGGTTGACATTTACCTGGACGATATTACATTTATTGTTGTTGTGTATATTCTCAATTTATACTAGTTGATTCATGTGTACAACATTCGAACTGCACAATACTTGCATTCATTTTTTTAGTTGCCGTCAATTTTCCAAAATTACCTTCACAACATTTGAATTTATTCTTTTATTTGTCTGTACTTTATGTATATATTTTTCCTTTTTTTCTTGTTGGAGAAATCCCTACGTATAGCTGTTAAGTCCAGAGTACAAGCATGTTCCAAGCTTCAACATGCTAGTACAGGAGCTTGAAATCTTAAGAAGTCATTCCATTTCACAAAATTTGCTAAATAATCTCATACTACAGAGATAGACCACACTATAGAGATACGACAAACATGGACATAAAAAACACAGGGACGCCGACGAAAAAACTAAACCACAACTCAGGCCACATGAAGTGACTTGAAAACTAAAACCATTATTTGGAACCATCCACTTAGGTATATTGATAATTCTTCAATATTTAGCTCTTTAACGCATATATATGTAGGAATAATATATTAGAGATAAAATCATAGTAATTTCATCAACTATATGCCTGTGAATTACGGAGAACAATCGCGCAGGAATTAAAGTTGATTACTTTAAAAAAAATAAGTTTGAATAATTCACATAATTGTAAACTATATCAAACTTTTAGCAAATAAAAATTAAATTGATTCCTTAAAAAAAACTTCAAAGATTGATGCAAATACCCGAGGAAGATCGGTGAAGGGCAACGTTGGGTTTCCTGAGGATCAGCGATGGGGATGTGTGAGATGGAGGATTGGGTTCGGTTAAAAAATAAAAATAAAAAAACTTCAAAGATTGATGCACATACCTAAGGAAGATCGGTAAAGGGTGGGGATGCGTGGGATGAAGGATTGGGTTCGGATGAATTTCATGCTGATTGAGAATTGGGTTCGGTTGAATTTCCTTTTCAAAGCTCGGTGAAGGATGGAGGAGGAAACAAACACAACGTCTTTTTGGGGAAGGAAGCGTGGGGTGCGAGATTTTTGGGATACAGGATTTTTGGGATTTGCTTTTTTGCATTTAAGTCCTTGTTTTATTTAACTTTGGCATTGGTCTGAATGTTAACTGTTTATTGCTAATTTATAACCAGCGAATTATAAATTGACACATGGCGACAGAGCATGAAATTTCCTACGATGCCAGCTCACCTCTATATATATATATATATATAATGAGTATGCTTGGTAGTGAGGTGGCATAATCCATTCCACTCATTCAAATGGTTGTATATCCTCATGAACTTCTCAATTCATGTGAATGTGGTCCCCCATTTGAATGAGTGGAGGGGATTGTGTCACCGCACTATCAAGCACAAAATTTGGGCTTGGTACCAAGCATACTCATATTTCTCATATATATATATATGAGAAACTATCATGTATCGCTTGTAGCCAAGCCCAAATTTGGTACAAGCCAAATTTGGCCTTGGTACGCAGCATAACTCATATGCCTTGTTTACATATGGAGAAACTATCAGAATGTTTAGAGATATCCTTCAAAAGAATCAAGGTATTTCCATTACAAATGAGAAAGTGACGGAAATAAATGTAAAATTCAGAAAACGTCTATGAATCACTTGAATTGGCATTAATATAAGGCATATCTATTAAAGAAGCATCGACTGAGTTACATTAAAGAATAATTTAATAATTTATCCCAATCAAAGAAGAATTCTTCATGGAAGATATAAGAAAATTTAGTATGTATTCATAAATTCCATACTTTGTTCTTTAAATACTAAAGAAATTAAACATTAATATTATAATCTAAGGCAAATTGACAATAAAAATATAAGTATTTAGTTTAGATCTTTATGAAAAATGATAGGGACAGAGCAAAGATAATACTATTGACATAATAGAAACTATTATTGGATGCACATTAGAAGAATTCATTATAGAGAAAAAAGAGAGGTAGCTCCAAAACTTATTTAAGTAATAATTTAGGAATATAAAGAATTTGATATATATGAAATTAATATTTATTCTCAATGAAATAGAAAAAAATCAAAGTCTGTATTTTAAGAAGTTTGTGTTGAATATTAGAAATACATTTAACTTCTTTGTGAAGTTAAACAAGAAGATAAAAGATTAACGAGCACAGGAAAGATAACAACACAAAAAATATAACTCTAGCCTAATGACACAATCAATGTAGATGATGATGACATTACTCTAGAATTGCCCCCAAAAAAAGATAAAGGTAAAGAAGGATTGATCTTAGTTCAATAAAAAATAAAACAGAAGGAATAAAAGATAATATTTTCTGAATATTTTATAGAATAGTTTAATTAATTTGAGTGTAATTAGGAATCTTTAGAATTGAATTTCATAAACTTTTTTTAGTACTTTTATATGCTTATGTGGATGCTTGTATTATATAAAAGTATACTAGAGTTAGCATTAATCTTTAGTTTATAATTTTTTATGAAGTCTATGATTAGGAACAAACTTTATATTCTCTTTTGTATCATTTTAAAATACCTTTAATCAATTATTTTGCCTTATTAGTTTTAAATATTCACCATCCTTATATAACGCTATTTCAATATTTTTCACATTTGCAACACTTTACTTTCTCAAGTAAAGCTTGGTTTCATGTCAGTCAAAATAATATGAAAGTTTAAATTAGCTTCAAAATATATTTGTTCTCTATCAATTCAAATATCAACATGATATTTGAAATTGAGTATAGCCCATTTAAACAAACATCAACGAAAATAAATAATCGTAATATTAAACTTTAGAGATAAAAGTGAACATAAACTATTATAGTGGAACTGATGAACAAATTTTAGTTAGAAAATAAGCAAAAATACTTAATCATGGCATTTAACCATGTGCATTGCACGTGTATAAAATCTAGTAACACTAAAAAGATGAGAAAAAAGATAAAGGATAATGTTAACATAATTTAGGGGTCTTTTCCTCACTTGGTGTCACATACTTTGCACGTGACCTTGTTTGTCAGAAAATTTGAAAGAAAATTGAGAATTAAAATTGTATTAATCTCCTTAACTGACTTAGGAAAAGAATAATTACAATATCTCAAAGTAATTCCTCTCTAACTGACTTAAAAAAAAGAAATTTTAACTTTTCTTTTATCGGTTTCCCGGTTTACAAAAGAGTGAAAAATCGATGAAGATCTTCCTCTTTGTTTAAAGCTAGGTTCTTCTTGGTGTCGATGGGAGTTTGATTCTTGTATCACATTGACGATTCGAGCACTTCGCTTCAAGGAACGTTGTATCCTCTTCTTGACTTGACGTCTTTGAAGAACTTGCAAGGCAAGTTTGGAACTCTAAATGAGTTTAAGAACTCTGTAAAAGAGTTAATTTTAGAACTGATATCAAAGAATAATCGATCTCTAAGTTCTGTAACCAAAGATGGTTCGAAAAGCCAAGGCACCAAGCTTCAAAACTCCAAGAAAAGCTCTTAATAATGCTCTCAAAGGCAAAATGATCCTCTCCAAAAAGCGAAGTTAAGCTCTAAGGGTTCCGACCCAAGTTTAGCTATAAACGTAGCTATATAGGGTTTAAGGGGTGTAACTGACCCCTTAAATCACTCCATAATGGGGGTTTAATGCCCTCATTACATGCAAAACGGTTTTGGAACCATTTAAAACATGTTTTAATCAGTCAAACGTGAGGTTCGTGTTCTGGAGTGACCCTCACGTTTAACTTATGAAGCGCGAAGGTGAGCCTCATGTTCTGGCTCTGGATACGCGAAGGTGAGACTCGTGTCTGCTCTTGATACACGAGGATGAGACTAGCGTTTGCACTTGACATGCGGGGGTGAACCTCGTGTTTGCTCTTGATATGCGAGGATGAGACTAGCGTTTGCTTTTGAAGAGATTATCAATTGTAATCTTTTTCTTCAAGTGTTGTAAAGATCGTCATCTTGTAATCCTTGCATTTGTCTCTTTGAAATATGAGAGTCATCAATTTGTAACTCTCATCTGCTATTGCAAAAGTCATCAGGTTGTAACTTTCATCTGTTGTTGTGAAAGTTGTCATATTGTAACTTTTATCGGTTGATGTAAAAGTCGTCAGATTGTAACTTCCATCATCAGTGCTTTGTGGGGACTAACTATCTGTAGTAATTTTTAGACAGCCTACAAAACTATTAAAGTTTGTAACGTTATTTAGGGAGTTAAGTGAGACAAGTTCCAGAGGTAAGGAGAATAATTAAAATTTAGGATGTAATGTGCAAAATCTCCCAAACTTAGAGGGTTATGCGAATGTTATAGGGTGCAAGTTAACCAAGTATTAATCTCTGCTGGGAAGTCAATATGTGTCCACCCCATGCTTAATTCGATCATTCCAGAACCCGGCAACTCGAGTTATACCTACAGCCGATTCCGTAAGCTGACAACTTGCGTAGCTGACTAAAAAGATGGTACTTGTCAGCCTACCCACCAGATCGATCCTACCGATGAAAGATGGTATTATTTCAGTCACAACTTGCATAGCCGACTAGAGAGGCGGTGTTTGTTAGCCTTTAGCTGGACGGCTAGAGGGGCAGTGTGTCCTTGAACCCCCCGCCGACAACCAACTACCCTTGCATTAACTGCCCTGATAAAGTCATCATTGCTCTAGTCCCTATAATCTTTATAACTCATCAGACCCACTCAGCTCCAAGCACATGCTATCTACCCAATATAAACAACTGGATGACTCATCTTCACCAGCAGCTCCTACCTATCAGCTGTCTGCAGAGTCAGCTGTCTGCCTGGACTCAGCTCAAGTTACCTATCTTCCCTTCTGGTCCACTATAAAAGGAAGCCATGCAGATCAAGATCACTCCCTGGCTTTTCATGCAACTTTGAAATCTTCTTCATAATCTCATATTTTCCACTCAAGTTCATATACTGACTTGATCGTCGGAAGAACAACCGGAGAACCCAACTCCAGCCTCTTACGAGTTCTTCGTGTGCAGAAAAGTATAGCAGGTTCCTAGACTAGCCACCTAAAAAAGCTTGAGGACCCCAACCCAACACTAACGCTTAAATAAACCCCCTGCTCGATAACTCTGTACGACGTAAAATTGATCTCAAAAGAAGATTTTTATTAATTGAAAGGCAATTACAAATCAAGAATTAAAATTATAACAGAAGCAAAGAGAATGCTCTTCTTGTTTAACGTGGGTTCTTTGGTAGCGATAGGATGCATCCCTTGAATGCTTGCGTCGAGTTTGCTTCCTTTGGACGATCCGATCGAAATTGTGATTGAGCTTTAGCGTATGGTAGAAGCTCGTGTGATTGGGTTTGAATACCCGAGCTTGATGAGTATGAAGGTCGGATGCAGAAAGAAGGCTAAAATGCAAGAGTTTGCAAAAATCCAAGAGTTAGAGTCAAGAAAATCTCCTGGTCCTTGAGTCTCTCTCTCCCCCCCCCCCCCTTTGGGGATCTCCTGCTCCTACGGAAGCGTCGGCTGGGGGTCATTCATCGGCGCGAGAGTCTCCGCTTCAACGAGAGGCCTCCATTCTGCAGGTGACCATTTCTCCGTCGACGGCGGCCGTTGACGTTGTGACCACTGCACCGAGGGTGTCCCCCCCCCCCCCTTTTTCTTATAGCCAAATGTGGCTTATAAATAGGTGAGGAGAAGCATGGCCACTCCCAATTGTGGGAAGTGACTATTCCCATGATTATGGTTAAGGAGGACCATAACTCCTCCCTTAAATTGTGGGATATGACCACACATAGGTAAGGAGAACCATACCCCCCCCTAAATTGTGGGAAGTGGGCATGCCCACTCCACAAGCGAGTAGCTACTGGACTACTCAAGTGAGCTTGGTGACCTTGCAGGCGAGCTTGGCATACAGGCGAGCTCGACTCGAGCGAGCGAGTCAGACAATCAGGCGAGCTTGACTCGTGCGGGCGAGTCAAGTCTGCAGGCGAGCTTGACTCGTGCGGGCGAGTCAAGCAATCAGGTGAGCTTGATTTGTGCGGGTGAGTCAAGTCTG